CGGCCGACACGCCACACGACGGGTGTGGGATTGCGTGGGGCCGGCGGGCGTGGGGGTGGGGCCGGCGCGGCGCCACCGACAACGCGTTGACTGCGAGCGGCCGCTTTAATTTTTTTCCCTCCCGGGCGGGCGGCCGGCCTGTATTCATATACGTATACCTCCGTCTGTTTTTTTTTTGCGGGCGGGCGGGCCGGCGGGGCAATCTTATGCCCATCCTACCCTTTGTTATGAAGGGGTATTGGGCAATCTCAGTCCTCTTTGTGTTTACAGGGGGTCTACCGAAGCGGAAGTGTATAAATAAAGCTCAACCCACCACAGTTTCTACGGTATAATTGAAGAGTGCCACTGTTCTAGCACTAGTGACTAACTAGTGACTAGTGAGTGGGTGTGAACTGAGGCCCCTGCCCGCGCTGCAGCTCTGCAAGATGACCGCGAGGTCGGCCAGGTGCATGCTGCTGCTGCTTGCCCTGGTGGCGGCGTTCCATGGCCACGGGGGAGGAGCATGCGTCCGTGCCACGAAGGAGCCTGGCCGCCTGCGCTGGCTGGGTGGGCTGAGCCGGGCGTCGTTTCCCAAGGGATTCGTGTTCGGGACGGCGACGTCGGCGTACCAGGTGGAGGGCATGGCCACAGGAGGCGGCCGCGGACCTTCCATCTGGGACGCCTTCGCGCATACGCCAGGTGCTGCTTATTACCTCTTCCTCTTTACTTCACTTGTGCCGCCCTTAAGCTCAACTCCGTTTTTTTTGTTTTGTTTTTATTTCTGACGTCAGTTTCATATTCCGTGCTGCAATAAACAGGAAAAGTTGTGGGAAATCAAAATGCCGACGTTACAACAGATCAATATCATCGCTACAAGGTACGACGTCCGAAGCAAACAGAAACATACATGAGTAATCAATCTTTCACGTTTAATCCTTTTATTACATATGCTGGGACAGGAAGATGTTAATCTCATGAAAGGATTGAATTTCGAAGCCTACCGGTTTTCCATCTCATGGTCCAGGATCTTTCCGGGTACACTCCAACTTCCATATTTCTCTGACTGAACGCAAGCTGTTGATTGACACCACTGATTCGTCATTTATTTCTGTAGACGGTGAAGGAAAAGTTAACGAAGAAGGTGTGGCGTACTACAACAATCTGATAGATTACCTGCTTCAGAAAGGTACAGCTAGCATAGCTAGGCGTTCATTTCAACCTGTGAAACTTCCATGGGAACCTAAATAAATACATCGATATCTGAATGTTTCCATGAAAACTAAGCAGGCATTACTCCTTATGTCAACCTTTACCACTATGATCTCCCTCTAGCACTTGAGAAGAAGTATGGAGGCTGGTTAAATGCAAAGACAGTGTAAGTCAAACTAGCAATCCATCTTTCTATTTACTAATGTGTTAGATTTACATTCCCATTCAGAGTATTTCTATACTTATAGTTTGGATTTAGAAGCATACAGGAAAAATTGTTTAGACAAATTTAACAGTTACTCTTTTTACATACATAATTTTCTATTAAATGTGACTTCACATATTCGAGAAATGAACATTAGGATGCAGAAGTTTTTGTATGTTTACTCAAAAAGTAAATCATACAACACACAATCACTTTATTTTTCTATGTCGAAGCAGCATGCGATGATTATCTTCGTAATATTTGTTCTGTAGGGAACTATTGCAGATTACGCTAACTTTTGTTTCAAGACCTCTTTTTTTCTTCATCTGTAGGGAACTATTTGCAGATTACGCAGACTTTTGTTTTAAGACCTTTGGCGACCGTGTAACGCACTGGTTTACATTCAACGAACCAAGTAGAGTAGCGATTGGTGGTTATGATATAGCGACGACTCCTCCCCAAAGGTGCACCAAATGCTCTGCTGGTGGGAACTCAGCAACAGAGCCTTACGTTGTTGGTCATAATTTTCTCTTAGCACATGGTTATGCAGTTGCAAGATACCGGAACAAGTATCAGATATTTTTCTAGTTGAGCTATAAGAGCATATTATAATATAATCAGCCTTAGGGAGTTTAGTTTGATTTAAATTTCACTTACAAAATCATTATCGAATTAATTTTGTCTTGGCGCATGGTCAATGTGCATTAATTGTGTCCAACAAGATTGTTTTTGTGATTGTGTATATATCCATGAATGTATAAGCATTATTGCTTCCCCAACTCTCTGGGCATGTTAGTGACAAATAATCTCGAGATATCAGATTTGTATGATTTGTCGTGAGCATTGATCATTCCGTCTAGATTGGTGATAGAATAGTAGAAACAAAATGTAGGCAGCTCAGCAAGGGAAGGTTGGAATAGTTCTGGACGTCAGTTTTTTTATTTTTTTAGAAAAGGAGGATGACCCCCGGCCTCTGCATCTGGACGATGCATACGGCCACTTTATTAATTATTCTCACAAGACCTTACAAAGTGATACAACAGTAAGACTAAAGCCACCGTCTAAGCAACAGACTGTCGCTACACCTATCCAGCTGATGAAGGGGCGCAGATAGCCTAGGCCTAATACCAAACAGACATCGCAGCCAAGCCTAACATCTAAGACCTGAGACCCCAACCTAGCCACTTGCCGGGTCTGGGGCACACACTGGTCCGGCGTGCTCTTAGAGGCCGCCGCCGCCAACTGCCACCGCTCCATCTTCAGAACTGTACTGAAGCATCAACCTTGCTCGGTCTAGCTATCGTCGACGCCACCACGGCGCCCAATGACACCTCCTCCCTGCGCGCAAACAGCTGAGCACGTTGCGGTCGCCACTGATACACCTCAGCGCCATGCTGCCAAGTACCACCAGCCGACACAGCTTGAAGTCCTTGGAAGATTTGTCGTACGTAGCACCTGCCGACCAGGCATGACAAAGCGTAGCACCTGTCGGTCAGGCATGACTTGACATCTCCACCGAAGCTCCGTGCAAGACGAAGCCGCTCCACCTCCTACCTCTGACTTCCGGCGCTGCTCCACAAACGATGCTCCCAAGAGAGAAACGACACCGCAGTGCCGCCATCGTCCGATCTGGAAAACCAGATCATAGGGTTTCCCCCGGAGCAGCACGAGTGGGTTGACAGTAGTTACAGAACGATGCCTTCATCAAGGTAACCATCGTCCGCCATCGGCTCGGTTTTCACCGGCAACTATGTCTCTCCGACTCGTAGCCGGGACTAGATTACAGATCTCGAGATCCGATCATCTAGTCTCAGGTCGACCACCTCCGACGTAGGAGATGACCACCACCGCCATAATCCTCGTGATGCGGTGCAGACCCGGAGTGCTTCAGCGAGCCGTCGCCGAATCCGATGAGATGCAGCGGCTTGAGGACGTAACGGCAGCCCGGGACGCGCCCCGGCCGCCGCTGCCGCCATCTCGTACTACTCCCGCCGGGTGCAGCCAAACCCCCCGTCGTGCCCCGGCCGCCGCTGCCCGCCATCCTCGTCGGGAGGGAGATCCAAATCAGGCCGCCGCCTCAGATCTCAGGACGTCAGAGGAGGTCCACCGCCGCCGCACCACGGGGCCTTCGCCCAGCGACGTTGCCGGCGGCGGCGGAGGGAGGGGGGTGCACGGGGAGTCGAGGGGAGATCGGGATGTGGCCGCCCGGTGCGGCCCGGGGGCGGCCGCACGGGGTTCTGGACGTCAGTTGGTACGAGGCTCTTAGCAACTCAACTGAAGACCAAGCTGCAGCTCAAAGAGCCATGGACTTCCTTGTTGGTTGGTACGGCCATACTAGTATCATGCTCATGCATTTGACAATGAGTTTTATTTAGATAAAAAATATATATCAATGACAGTTGCATTGGATGCAGGTTTCTTGATCCACTAATAAATGGACAGTACCCACAGATAATGCAAGACCTTGTGAAAGAGAGGTTGCCCAGGTTCACTCCTGATGAAGCTAAAGTGGTCAAGGGCTCAGCGGACTGGATCGGAGTCAATCAATACACAACTGAATTCGTAAAGGGGCAGAAATTGGTGCTGCAGAGGCCGACTAGCTACTCAGCCGATTTGCAGGTTACTTATTCATGTGAGTTTCCTTCCTGTCCTAAGCTGCAGGTTTTACTTTACATCAGTACATATTATTGCGCTTCATCCTTAATTTATAGCCGAAACTTTGCAGTTGAGCGAAATGGCAAACCGATTGGACCAAGGGTATGAAGCTCCTAGCTGAAACCTTTCTCAGCTTTATTTCTCCGACCATAAGTTGGAAATTAACATGATAAGTCTTGTGGGTGCGTGAATTGTACGTTACAGGCGAGTTCTAAATGGCTTTATATCGTCCCGAGGGGGATGTACGGATGCGTGCACTACATCAGCCAGAAGTATGGAAATCCACCGATGCTCATAACTAAAAACGGTACTGGAGTCCCATATCTCTTTGTTCCGTTTCATGCCTCTCAAGCATCTTGTCATGCATATGTGCTAATGTCGTCGTCATCGTCAACAACAACAACAAAAAAAATCCTAGATGAAAACATAACAGAAAAGTTGGAAAAACTCTTTGTGT